TCAACGCTAAAGCCAAGCATGAATCCGATGAATTAATAATTATGGACAACAATGCTAAAGTACGTAGTCACTTTTTCAGCTTCTTTTCACTATTCGCTTCTTTGTTTTCTGCCGTCATAGGGATTTTGAAGGTTTTTCAACGTGTTCGTCACGATGAATCTGAGGCCGAAGTAGACGAAGAAGTTGATGTACTCATGTCATCGGACATTGTATCGGCGCAGGTTTGTTTGATTTGGGTACTTGCAGTTCAAGTGACCTGACGTCTGCGGCAAGGCATAACAGATAGTTTTTACTCCATGCAAACATGTAATAGATTCATTGTTGAAGAGGTATTGAAACTTAGGCTACGTGTTTTTTTGTGCAGTTTCAACGAAATTTTTTTTTAGAAAACATCTTAACCTTGGTGCTAAATCTTACTAGCGGCTGTCTTTGTACAATATCTCCATCTTTTAAATGATGACAAAAGTTTAAATGAATTTTCAGATGTCCACGAAGACGATAACATTCCGGCAAGCGTTTTCTGGATGGGTGTTTAAGCATGCGAGAGAGGTACAATCGAGTTTGCTTACGCATATTTTAGAGTTTGTAGATAATGTCTTTATAGAGGAGAAAAAAATATTTTTCCTGCTGTTAACATCTACATCGCCTTTACTTATCTTTCCCGGTTTTCATTCTTACCGAGTTGTTCGGAGATTAAATTTTTCTATTTGGTTTTCAACTTCTCTTGGATCCTCGTAATACTGACATCACCATTTTAGGAACGAATCGGTGACTATGATGTGAACTTTTACCTCGTTGACGGGATGAAACTAGTTTCGCGGAAAAGACGAGAACATCTTACCGCCGATGACATCAAAAAGAACAAGTCTTTCATGCAGTCTTTGGCAAGCGGTGCTGCTGTGGGTGATGAGGATTTCAAGGTAAATCTCTTTACACATGTTCAACAGCCTCACTGTTTTTTTCTGTAGTTTTTATCGCGCACCATCTTTTAGAGTCTTCAACACCGAAAATCTCTGGCTCCTCCTGGTCGTATGCCCACAACTTGGGAAGAATATGTTGGTGCTGCTCCCGGCGCAGCACCGCCTTTGGGTAGAGCACAAATCCTGAAGCAGAACGAGAAAAACTTTACTGCGATCATTGGCATGGTAAGACAAAAAACCACAGGAGTGATTTTTGACTATTATCTTCGTGTATTTTCAGAGCGAAGATTTCCCAATGCATGTCGATGTGTTACTTGACATCCTTGAAATTGTTGCCCCGTTCAAACATCTTGAGAAGTTGCGGCGATTCTGCGAAGCAAGACTACCACCTGGCTTCCCAGTTCGTGTCGGTCAGTTGTTATCAGCCTTACAGTTAACCCTTTGTAACCCTACATAATATTCTTGATTCAAATCCTCTTTTAGAAATTCCGCTCTTACCAACGATTTCGGCAAAGGTCACGTTCCAAAAACTTCAGTTTGTGTCAAATCTATCGGACAAACTATTTTTCATTCCTACCTCGTACCGTGAAGATCCAACAAGATTCCCTGACTTGTGATCAAAGGGATGGGTACTGCAGGAACTTTCTTATTCTATACAGTTCTTGTTGCTCGTATATAGTAGTTCTTATGATCCTTGAGCAAACATTTGGGAGCAAAACTGGAATAGGCGTGGTGCCTAGCGCTCCCTGAAGTATGTTGGTTGTATTCACGCCAAAATCTTTGGTTCGAACCAGTTCAGAAACTGAGGTGATGATTAAAATCATATGCTTGCTTCTATGGCTAATAAGGAAATCACAACAATGATTATATAGTTTTATT